CCAGTCACATGGGTGGTAAGCCACTCCCACAAAGGAGGCCACACCCACAGAGTAGGTTCGAACAATTTTTGAAACCCACCACTGTTCCTCACCTGGCTGGCCACCGGCAAAGAGCCATGTGGCCGATAGCTGCTCAATGCCCCACACAGCATCGCCCAGCCACTGGTGGGGACAGAACTGCCAGCCCAGCTTGTATTTGGGCTGGCTGGTTGGAACAGCACTGCATCCAAGGCCCCCGCGCTGCAGCTAAAAGAGAAGGTGCCACGCGAGAAGATCCTCACATTGGAATCTATAAATCAGCAGGTCAAGGCGGTGGAGTATGCAGTGCAGGGGCCCATCGTCCTGAACGCAGGCAAGATAGGAAAGGGTATCAAAAGCCTTTCACAGAAGTCACCAAGGCCAATATTTGTGATTCGCAGCAAGCAAAACTTTAGTCAGGCTACCAAGCCGCCACTGCAGGGCCAGCCGCTTGGTGCAAAACCTCATGGCTTTTCTCGTCCTCAGTGTCATCCTCCCTGCTCAAGCAATGGTTAAGTCCGCAGGAATCATCCCTGCCCCGGTACAGCAAATTCTGATGGGATGGATGCAGCTGTGAAGTGCTTCCTTGCTCAATTTAAAACTTAGCTCAGCCTTCCAGAGTTCACTGCACTGGGCCAGGAATGATTCCCGCAGACCCAGCCTTTCTCTCACTAAACATCAGAAATTTTGGGCACAATTGTGGCCGTAAATTGAGGACTAACCGTACTTGGCTACAATGCAAAATTAGACTTCATGGACAACTCTGAAATATCTCATCAAGTCATTTTTCAAGTCTGTGCTCCAACATTGATGCAAAAGATGAGGAACTAGATGAGTTTTATGATAAGGATCCATTTGAAATCGACAAACATACGAGCAAGATGTGCTGCTTATGATTAGAGACTGGGATTCCAAAGTTGTAAACATTGAGGAAAATGTAATTGGATTCTATGGCTTAAGAAATTAAAATGAAGTATTACTAGTACTAAACTGCCAATCCCAGTTTAGGAGATGGAGCCGAGGTGGCGCAGTGGTTAGGGTGCAGTACTGCAGGGCACTTCAGCTGATTGTTATCTGCAGTTCAGCAGTTCTAATCTCACCGGCTCAAGGTTGACTCAGCCTTCCATCCTTCCGAGGTGGGTAAAATGAGGACGCAGACTGTGAGGGCGATATGCTGACTCTGTAAACCGCTTAGAGAGGGCTGAAAGCCCTATGAAGCGGTATATAAGTCTAACTGCTATTGCTATTGCTAACTTCTCTTTAGTGTATGCTTTGGGCTATTTTGTGTATGGTATTTGTATACTATATGCACAGAACAGCCCTAAGCAGACCCTCTCTCTGTTGGAGAGAAGGTCCCTGAGGACAGGCTCCAGCATAAGTCCGATAGCTCACAGGACTAAATCTCTGGTCCTGATCCTGCA